GACCCTCAACGAGATGGATTGACACAGTGGCTGCAACAATAGGTTCAAGCATAATGATTGTGACAATGGCACAGGACCAGGCAGTGTTCCGTTCTGTTGTACACAGGGTTGCTATGAGTTGGAACCAACTCGATGGCACCTAAAAACAACAGCAAGTTTTATAATGTATTGGAGGATGAAGATGATTGAGACATTGATGTAAAGGATTAAAAGGCTATGGCAAGATCTTGCTCTCTATTCTGTCTATACATAAGGTCATCTCAAGTATTTTTGACATTGAATTGTCAGAAAGGGAGTTAAAACTTCCCTAATACGAACAGAAAGGAGCCTGGATGGTACAAGCAATTTTTGACAGGCTGCTAATCAAAAGGTTGGCTGTTCAAACCCATGTAGCCGTTCCAAGGAAGAAAAGGCCTGGCAATCTGCTTCTGTAAAGATTACAGCCAAGAGAATCCCATAGAGTAGTTTTACTCTGAAACACAAAGAGTCGTAATGAGTCAGGGCCGACTTGTCAGCAGTTAACAGCAAGAACATCAAGAAGAGAAGGTGAAGATTCCTGGGTAACACAAACAGTTTGCGCTTGATTACTATTAACCTAAAGTTGGTGGTTCAGATCTACCCAGCTGCTTCGTGGATGAAAAGGTCTGGAGAACTACTTCCATAAAGATTAACCACCCCCCTCCCGAAAAAAACAAAACAAAAACAAGAAACAAAAACCCACTGCTGCCAAGTCGAGAGACCCTATAGGACATAGCAGAACTGCCCCATAGTGTTTCCAAGGCTGTAAATCTTTATGGAAACCGAATGCCACATCTTTTTCCTGTGAAGCTGCTGGTGTGTTTAAACTGCCAAAACTTTGGTTAGCAGCCAAGCACTTTGAGCACTGCGCCACAGCCAAGAAAACCCTATGGAGCAGCCCTACTCTGTAATACATAAGGTCTCCCGGGAGTAGGAATTGCCTTGACAGCAGCAGGTTTTGGTTAATATGAAGAGAGGTGTTCCTGGGCACTGCAAACAGTTAAGCGCTTGACTACTAACCAAAAGTTTGGAGGTTCGAATCCACCCAGAGGCCTTTAGAAGGAAAGGCCTGGATATTTACCTGCAAAAGATCAGAGTCATTAAAAACTCTGCGGGGTGCAATTCTACTCTGAAACACAGAGGGTCACCATGAGTTGGAACCTCAATGGTTTGGTTTTGATTTAATACGAAGAGATGATGGGTAGATGATTTACAAATGAGCTAGGCCAAGAATTTATACATGTCTATTTTTTTTTTACTGCCTTCGGAACAAAATTTTCCAACAGCATATGTTTCAAAACTGACCTTTTTTATATCAACTTAATCACAGATTAAGTAATCTTCACTTGATTGAGGATCATTCTTTCATTATCAGGTATAATGTGACGTCTTCCATGTTGACTCTTGACACATGAGAACCACCTCATATGTTAATCTAAATATGTAGGGAATACATCTTTTCTATGTATTTTGGCTGTGCTTCAAACCAAAGATAAGCAAAAAGTCATTTTAATTATTTTCTACTATCAAAACCCATTTTACACATCTTGTCTTTTAAAAATGTTAGAAGAACATAGATCACCCTTCTCTATGAAGATTTCCTGTTGACTGAGAAAACGGCTCATGCATTCTCAGAGTTTTTCAAAGCAAAATTTTCAGAAAACTAAAATGCATAAGCTTCATACAAATATATGGTGAGCATGTCAAAGATTAATTTGGCTCATTAATAAGGGATCCAGCAGACTGTATATCTAGCCCAAAGAGGATAGGAATGACTGTTATATATAGTGAATTAAAGAGAAAATTATGAAATAAAATTATTAAATATAAAATTGGTTGATGTCCCTATGAGGTAATAAAACCATAACTTTTTGGGGTTGTCTTTTCTACCAGAAAGAAATCATTTGTATCATTCCTGAACAAAAGTTATCTGTAACTTATCTTTATTTTACAATTTAACATCTAATTTCATGGAGTCTGGGTCTAATCAATAGTAAATAGTAAGTCAAACGAAGTGTGTTCTTCCAGTGAATAGGGTAATCTTTGGGAGAGACTACTAGACAATTCTCCATTATATCATTCAAAGTACAAGCCATCATTCATTTGCCTTATTTTCAAATTGGAGTAATTTTTCTTAACACCCTCTATCACATAATAAAAATAGTTAATACTTGGGCTTGTGCTGTCAGCACTTTTCTTTCATTATAAAATGAAAGCCAATGAACATAAGCCTTTTTATGAAACTCTATTTCATTGGGAAAAATTCTTAGATGAAAAACTTAGATAAAAGAGTTTGAATATTTTCAAGGTTATTGATGTACATAGTCAAATTCATTTCTAAAAAGGACATGCCAATATATACTACTCATGTACAGTATATGTGACCATCATACTGACAGAGCTGAGCATTACCTTTGAAAAAAATCTGTCAATTTAGAGATGCAAAATAAATTCTTGTTTCAGTTTACCTATATAGTATTTGGTTGCTACTGCAGTTGAGTTTTTAAAACACAGTGTCATGGATGGAATTATATCCCCCCCAAAAATGTGTGTATCAATTTGTCTGGACTATGATTCCTGGTATTATGTGGTTGTCCTCCATTATGTGATTGTAATTTTATGTTAAAGAGGATTAGGGTGGGATCCCTGATCCAAAGTAAAGGGAGTTTCCCTGGGGTGTGGCCTGCACCACCTTTTATCTTGTAAGAGATAAATGGAAAGAGAAGCAAGCAGAGGGTTGGGGACCTCATACCACCAAGAAAGCAGTGCCGGGAACGGAGCGTGTCCTTTGGACCTGGGGTTCCTGGGCAGAGAAGCTCCTAGTCCAGGAGAAGATTGATAACAATGAGGACCTTCCTCCAGAGCCGACAGAGAGAGAAAGCCTTCTCCTGGAGCTGACGCTCTGAGTTTGGACTTCTAGCCTACTAGACTGTGAGAAAATAAATTTCTCTTTGTTAAAGCCATCCACTCGTGGTATTTCTGTTATAGCAGCTCTAGATAACTAAGACACACAGTTTGTTATTTCTTTTAAAATTGTCTTTTGCTTATTTTTCGTTTTGGGTATTAGAGTCTGTTTTTAGTTCCTGAAAGCTTTTAATATCTGAGTGACATTAACCCTTTGTGTTTAATTCTGATTCATCAAAGAGTTTGCCATGAATAATGTTATTAGGATATTTTTTGTGAAAATAATAACATCGTAAATGAGACTCTCATTTGTGCTAACTTGAAACTCAACATGATTATAGGAATAAAGATCTAGTGTTGTTTCCTCTTTTCCAATAAAACTCTTTAAGTTGAAAAATTGTGATACCACATATATATGCAAACAATGTTAATAAGGGTGGAGAACCAAAACTATAGGAAACATTACAGGGATGTTTGTAATGTAAAATTCTTCACAAATTGACTGTAATCATTATCTTAATAAGTGAACAGTATAGCTTTAGGGACTTATATTTTGAACAATTTAGGATTCCCTGGGCAATCGTCCATAATAATTTAAATGATCTTTTTTGTGATGTGCTTGCAAAATAAAATCAAGAACTGAAACTCAAGTATACTCAAGATTATGCAATATGTTACATGTAAAGTTTATATTTATCCACAAACGTGTTGTTGTTGTTGGGTGCCATAGAGTTGATTCGAACTCATAGCAAACCCATGAACTGTTCCATAAGGTTTTCTTGGCTTGCCCCTATGGAACTGTTCTACTTTGTCCTGTAGGGTTGCTGTGAGTCTGAACCGACTCCACGGCAATGGGTTTGGTTTTTTATATATACACGTGCATATATATCTCATATAATGTAATATGTAAACATAATACAGAGACCTAGAGAGTATTCATGATAGTAAACAATGACAAATATATATATATATGTCTTTGCGGAGTCAGGGTGGGGAGCACCCAGAAAAAGTGTGAGCCCTTCATGTTCTTTGCCAAGGCCCACAGAGTCATTGGGCTAAAGTGTGACTCAGAATGAACCCACAGTCCATTGGTTTCCTCCCCCTCCCCCTCCCTCTGCCTGATGCCAAAGATCAGAAGCCAGAGGACTCGAAATCCCAGGAAAACGTCTTGGGAAATTCCTTGGAGCCCCAGCCCCTAGGCAGAGGTTTTCCACCGCGCCACGGAGCCCTGGGGTCCAGTTCGCGCAACGCTGGGACGACGCACCCGCGTCCACTCTCCCAGCTCCGCCCCGGCTGCAGGGTCGTGCACTGGAGCTCTCGCAGGACCATGTGAAACTCCCCACCCCCACCCCTCACCCTTCGACCTCCACCCCACACTTTGAGTTCTGTGAAATCCTCTAGGCGCGTCCTATCTCGCTTTACCGGTTGAGGGGCGGAAAGTGCAGGAGCAAACAGTTTGCTTTTTCCTCTGAAATTCCCAAGACCCTAATAAACCAGTAAGTGCCAAACATTGGGCTGGGATCTGTGTAAACGCCACCGGAGTTGGACACAAACCGCAGCTGGTTCCTACACCCGTGTTGTGATCAGTCAGCTTGGAGGTCTTTGGTCCTTCAGGTCCTTCAACTCTTAGAAGATGAACTTGAGAGTGTGGAGGAGGGGTGTTAGGAGAAGTTAAAAAAAAAAAAAAAAGTTGCCATAGAGTAGATTTGAGGGAGGCAGGTCAAGAACCGAGGAGCTAAAAACCCCAAATAGTCTGTGAGTCCACCTTGATCCGGTCTCCAGCTTCCCTCCTCCTCCCTGTATTTTACAGGGCCGACACCCCGAGCAGGCGATTTTTGTGTGTCGAATCGGTAGGCAGAATATTTGGCCCTCACTCACGCTTGCCACGATCGGATTACTTTTCACAAACGGGGGCTGACTGGGAGGTGGGGGTATTTACTTTTAATCCTTTTATGTGTGCGCAGTTCACCTTGTGTGATTGGATATGTAAGGCGGGGGAGGGGGGTTTCCAAATAGAGTGAAATTCCCATTCCACGGGTATTACCATGCCTGTGAAGTTGGCAGTTCCTAAAGTTTAGCAAGTCTGCAAATAATTGCAAAACACAATACAGCATCCCCTCCCTTCCTCTCTCTCTCTTTTTTTTTTTCTTTTCCTGCTTTCAAACGCCTTCTCCGGGGCTGAGGCTGAGCTTGGGCAGGTCTCCAAAGGTGCAGCAGCCACAACAATCCCGCAGTTCAAAGTTAAGCAGCAGTTGCACAACTTCAGCAACTGTCTTAGCTCTCTACTAAAGAATTGAAAGCAAGGAACGTCTGAGGGGGTGACGAGCCAAGCTTCCAGCCCACCTTTAAATCCAGATACCCCCACCCTCACCTCCACCCCACCGGAAACTTTGAGATACAGTCCTGTAATTCGCCTACATAGCAGACCATGGCTCCTTTTGGAAGAAGCTTGCTAAAGACTCGGCATAAAAACAGGTAAAGTCAAGCGTGTGTGTGCGTACTCGGGAGTCTACGTGTGAAAGTATGGGTTTCCTTGCGGTTTGATTCTGATGAAAACTACACTTGGGGGAACAAAGCTCGAAGGAGTTAGGTTTTGTATGAATACGCCGGTTATGAGGATATTGTTCTAGTATCGTTGATTGCAGGTGGTCAGGCAAGCGTTACAGAAAAGAATGATTATTTTGAGTCTTTTTTTTTTTTTGCTTTTTTGCCAGTCGTAGTTCCACAGCTAGCACTACCAACAATATCTCTTTTAGTCACTCTGAACATTTCACCTACTAGGTGGCAAGTTTCATTTTTCTAGACAGAACTTTAGTATATTACAGGAAGGATCAAAATCTTGATGAAGATATAACTAGAATTCATAGCCACTAATTAGAATGGAAAACACAGTTGTTTAGACAATGGTTGGGCTCCTCAGAGAGAGGGACATTCCTGAAATCTGGAAAGTTCCCAAGTGAAAATACTGTGTTAGTATAGAGACTTGTTATGAAACTGATTCTTTTGAAAGTCTTTCAGAAATGCAGGTGGTTTTAGGGACTAAATGAGGACTAAAATAGCTGTCCTCAATTATTATTATTATTATTTTACTTTGATTTGCTATTTCAAGTCTGCAATGCCCTTAGTGTAAATAAATGTATTTTTAAAACATAAACACAAACAGATTTTTCTTGAGTCAGTATGTGTGTTTCAGTCCTATTAAATATTTTACTAATACCTCAAATGTTACATTTTTAAACAAAAAAAAAAAATGAGGATGATTTCAGGCATAGCCTTTATTTACTTTTTTAATGTATGTATTTTGGCATGGGGCTTTCCCACTACTCTTCTCTCACACATTCTTGTTTGTACTTGTCATAATTTACTTAATGTAAATTTAAAAAGCACACAATAACATGGCTGGAAACCATATAATTATTTTAAAGTGCCTGCATGACAATACAAGGTGATAAAACTTTTTTAAAAATTTGCACTTTATTTTGTGCAAAAATGTCTATTTTAAATTTTTCAACTCATTTCCAAATATATTTGTGATTTCCTTATGAAACTAAAACGGTAATAATATACACTCTAAAGCTTTCTAAACCCATTTTATTTGCTAATCTTTTGATAATGTATCACAAATGTGGTATTTCTGGTAATTAGTACAACTATCTGTATGTTGGAGTTCTGGTGGCACAGTGGTTAAGCCCTCAGGCTGCTAACCAAAAGGTTGGCAGTTTAAATCCACCAGCTGCTCCTTAGAAACCCTTTGGGGCCATTCTACTTTGTCCTATAGGGTCGATATGAGTCGGATGGGACTCCATGCCAGCGGGTTTGGTTTCTTTTTTTTTTTAATCTGTATGTTAACAAAATACAGTGGTTTGAGTATTAAAAAATATGTTACTGATGGTTATCAAAACTAGTTTGTGTTTTAATGGTGACAGTACTAAAAAAAAGACCAAAAAATAAACAAAACCAAAACCAAAAACCCATATTGCTCTTTAAAATAATTATTCTTTAGCATTAATTTTGAAGTATGCTTGTTTAAATGCCATCAAAATATATCAAAAATTACTTTGGAAAAGTTCATGTTTTATAAGACAAGTTATGTTTCTGTCATACTGATTTCCCTGTAGTTCTATCCCTGTAGCTCTGAGTTTTTTTTTTTTTTGAGCAATTCAAGAGTTCTGCCATTATGTATGGAAAAAAAAAAAAAAAAAAAACCAATGCTACACAACTTTGCATGCACCCCAGTGAGTTCCCATCAGAGAATTCCATTCTCCACTTTCATCACACCAATTTGGCCACTGCACTATCTACACAGAAAACTAGCTTTCCTTCGCAAACTTTTTTTTTTAATATGACATTGTCTACACAAAATGATAAAAAGAGAAAGAATAATAAAAAAGGAAGAGTTTAATAGTATTTCAGCTTTCTCTGAGAAAATAGAATGGTGCTCCTGAAGGTGATGCTTTATTATGAGCACAAGTATTTTGGTGACAGTAGTAATAGTGACAGTATATGTAAATTGTTGTAATAACTGAGATTCCTTTACAGATTTTTATTTGTCCAGTCCTTTAGAAAAAACGTGAACCACATTGAGGTGGTTGAGGACGTAAAAATATGGGTCTTTCAAACTAGTGAGTAAACCACATGGTGTATTAAGGTAGAATTGATGTGTATTTATTATTTCAGTGTTTAGTATTGCTGTATGGGACGTCTGTCTTTATTTTTTTTAACCTTCTGAAAGGTGAAAATATAGATGAGCTTTAGTTACACCAGTAAGTTTATCCATTTTGTTTACCATATTCCATATGATTAGAATAATTCCACTCCAACATATGGAGACTGAATAGCTTTCCTTAAACGTGATTGATGGTGAAACAGTACCTGATAAGAATCAACGCGTTCTTGAAATACATAGTCTAAAATAAATTGTAGAATGTCAATAAGGGAAGACTTGGAGTAACATGTGTGCTTACCTTGTGATATATAACCTACATGATTAAAATAACTGTGTATAATTGTATATTCATTAACAGGAAAATACAGATTTCTAGAGAGAATATTGGGGATTTGAGAGCATATAATTTTGAGAAAGTTTGTTTACTGAACCTTTCTTCATCATGTTCACTACTGGAGTAATATTTGGTCATCCAAGATTAAATCTTATGAGCTAGTTCCGTAAGCATTTCAAAATACATAGGTATTTGAGAGTTTTTAAGACTTATGGGACAAAAATGAAAACTCAAGTGTGAGGCATAAAAACATTTAGAAAGCATACACTATAAAGTTAGAAGAGGCCAGGGCCATGTCTGTCTAGTTACCATTGGGTTCTCACTCCCAGGACAGTGTCTAGCATGTGGTAGACCGGCAATACAGGCAATACAGTTGGTTATATAATTTTGTAAACTAAAATTATACTCTCTACTCAAACTAGAAACATAGTAATGTTAAAATTATTTTATTCTCTGTTCACCATGTGATGTCACCTATTGATAAAAGCTAATGCTTTATGAAGTATTGGTTGACATTTAACGTAATCAAAACCTAAGAAGATAGACAATTATGTGAATTTAGAAACCAAGCTATTCTTTTACAGGTAATCTTTTCTAAATTTTAAAAAGCATTTAGTTCAAAAGTTTGGAAAACAGCCTTTAGGAAATTTGAGACTAATGTCTGTTCTCAAAAGATTATTGTATTTGGGTATACAAACTTTCTAGATGTTTCATTGCAAGCTTTCATATAAAAAAGAAATGGGGCCAACTTAAAATTCTTTACGTTTACAATCAGAGTTAATCTTTTTTTAGATTTTTCCAATTGTAATAACATTTAGTAGTTAAAAAAAAAAAGATTAGAATACAGTGTAACTGAATTGAATAATATTAAAGTCAGTCCAGAATAATCACAAACGCTACTGAGAAAGGAGAAGCTTGACTGCATACATTGTTTAAGAGTCTCATAACCAAGAGTTCTCTAATACCAGGAAGAGGACAGTTTTCAGAAGACCTTTTGGTCTCAGGAGATGGATTGTTTACTTTGGTTTCAGAATAATAGAATGTTCTGTGTTGCGTATCTCTTTAAGCAGATTTTTGCTCAACATAACAAAGGGAAATGTTAGACAGACTAGATTTTTTCAAAAAATGATTTGATTTTAAAGCATACAGATTTTGAAAGTGTTTTCTAAAAGTAGCTAGGTAGGCATTGTTTCTCACATAAAAGCCAAAGAAACATATAATGAAGCACCAAATCTCTTGATATTCATATGGACATTCTGTAACTGAATTTAGATTATTAAGGTATTTAGGTATCTGCGTAAATTCCGTTTGTGAACGTAATCATGTGTATATTTGATTCTATTTTCAAAGTAACAATTGTTTTAAAAATTAATGTTACTAAATAGCAATTTGTGACTTATTAAACAGTTCAGAAAGCTGCAATGTCACTATGAAGCTTTTGGAATACTTGGTTAGAGACCTGGTTTCTTAGGTGTTTTCATTAATAAAATTTGGGTGCAGAGAATTGTTTTGACCTTTTACCAACCTTTCTAGAAGCAGAGGATTGTCATAATGAAGCAATGTCCCATGTATTTTTCAAAAAGACAAAATTATAATTTTTCTTTTAAGTGATTTGTAAAAGAAAAGAAAATTCACAATGAATATGAAAGGACCAAATCCAGTTAATAAGACCTATATAATTATTGCTGTAGTACTATTTAGTCATCTTTTATTTTTTTTCTTTTCTATGTCTGTAGTCCCAAGGGTTCAAAAATCCATCCCAGGTGATAATAGGCATCCCTCATAATATCAACTTGAAATTAAAATGCTCCAAAACATGTACTCCTAATGAGTATGTTAGAAGTAAACATTACAGCTCTATTATTGTATAATTGATATTGAAAATGTGTATTAAAATTAGTTTTGGAATCAATTAGAACATATCTGGATGAATTTTTAAAAGCCAGGTACATTATATTGCCTCCATAAGTACCTCATACCATGACTGCTTTATCAGAAGGAAAAATTGCATTTTGTGATTACGGTAAAATTTGCTAACAATAATGTATTCTCTCTGTAGTTAGGAGTATGGTAATTTATGAATTCTACAAAATGGAAAATTATCGTATATTGTTTTATGCAGTCTTTCAATTAAGATTTAAAATGTTCCCCAGATTGGACTGAGAAATGTAAATCTTCTTAGTTCCCAGGAGTTCCTGAAAAAGATTTCCCCTAATAATACCTGGTAACTTAAGTAGTTATTAGCTGGCAGCAGACAGCCCATTAAGAACAATGACTGGAATGCTTTTTCCCTGGCAAAAATATCCTAAGAATAGTGGCAGCGGTGAAACTGAGCTCCAGGTTAAAACCTGATTTGTTACTCAAAAAGCCATAAGCCAACTTAAACTCCACCACGTAAGGTGTTGTGTTACATGCTCCCATACCAATGTATGACACATGTCCAAGGTGAAAAGTTCTTGAACAGATTTTAGAAGGAAAGTTAAAAAAAGAGTTTGAAGCTGTTTGAAGCTGGTTAACAATTTTATTTAGACAACACCTTTATTAGCTGGACTGCATGACTTAGAAAGTTTTGATGTTATCTAATTGGTATGTAGTTCCAAGATATCTGATAATAGCCCTAAATAATTCACAACAGCATGGATCTATTTTGTGGATTTTTAATTTTAGTTCTGAAAATGGAAAAAAAAGTTGAAGTAGGGGTACAGATTTATCTCTTTCAGGTGTATGTGGATACCAGTCCTTGACAAGGAACCTCTTTGTCTCTAGCATATTGGCTTTCTAAAATGAGGCACTATGTTATCTACACTCTGTATATGCCAAAGGAAAAGTTCAGCATACTCCTGTGTTTTAATGTTCTTTAATGTATATTTGCTTAAGGAGTCTTCATGACGTTCTTTTGGAAAAACAGCCATGATTTCTTAAGAGTTAACTATTTACTATTTTTTAATAGATTGTGATTCCATTACTGTTGACCCTGCTTTAATACTACACCTTCTAGAGAAAGTTTGCATATTTGCTGGTTAGAATTGAAAGGAATACCCAAGCAATTACTAATATGAGTGCAAAGCAGTTACTTCATATGAATGGAATAGAGCCTTGGGAAGAAGTTTAGCACTGGCAATGATAAGCAAGATATTTCAAGAATAAGAATGATCAATGAGTGTTAAATGTGCTAACAAATAAGAAAAATTATCCTCACAGGTTTACACCTGCAGGCTGGAATGCCCTTTATTTTCACAAATAAAATGGCTTCAGGTTTCTATAAAAAAAGACAAGAAAAAGCCTGTGAGCGGCCAGCTAAGATACTCCACTGGTCTCATCCCTTCGGGAGCAAGAGAGAATGAAGAGAACAGGATACTAGGAAAAGATTAGTCCGAAGGACTAATGGTCCACAGCTACCAAGGCCTCCGCTGGACTGAGTCCAGTACAGCCAGATGGTGCCCGGCTACCACCACTGACTGCTCTGACCGGGATCACAACAGAGGGTTCTGGATAGAGCTGGAGAAGGATGTAGAACATAATTCTAACTCACAAAAAAAAGACCAGATTTACTGGCCTAAAGGACACCGTTTTAGCTCAGTGGTGAAGTTATCTCCGAGGTTCACCATTCAGCCTGGGAGGGGACAGCCCCGTAAAACCAAATGGGACTAATGAGGTACAGTAGTCCAGTGACAAGGGCCAGAAGGCAGAAGGGGACAAGGAAGCTGGTGATAGGGAACCCAAGGTTGAGTAAGGATATTGTTGATGTGTTGTGAGATTGTTAACCATTGTCATAGGGCAACATGTGTAGTAACTGTTAAATGAGAAACTATTTTGTTCTGTAAGCCTTCATCTTAAGTGAGAATAGCAGCACAATTGGAAGGGCGTAGTCAATGTCACTGAACTGTGCATGTAGAAATTTTTGAAATGGTGTATCTTTGGCTATGTGTATTTTCACCAAAAAAAAAGGTTGAGAAGTTAGAGGGTTGACATGTTGTGGGGTTGTTAACCAATGTCATAAAACAATATGTGTACTACTATTTCATGAGAAACTATTTATTCTGTAAGCCTTCACCTGAAGTACGATAAAAAGAAAAAAAAAGAAAAGAAAAAATATTCTCCCTTGAGTATTGGCTCAATGAGAGCAAGAACCTTAACTGCCATGTTCATTTCTAGGTAATTAGTGCTTGTAGTAATACCTGGCTGAAAATAGGTGCTCAATAAATATTTGTTGGTTGAATAAATAGATTCAACAAATACCCACCAAATACAGCTTCATTATGACAATTTTGTGCTTCTAGAAAAGTTGGTAAAAGGTCAAAACAATTCTCTGACCCCAAATTTTATTAATGAGAATACCTAAGGAACCATGTCTCAAATACAGCTGGTCCCCAAACACAGTACCCAGATCAGAATAGCAGATAAGTAAATGTTTATTGAATGGATGCATGGGTAACCTAAAGAATGAATCCATAAATACAGGGCAATCATGATTCCTGCTCCTGGGCTCAACTCCTCCTTGCTTTCAAATGGTAAGGGGCCACATTTGACATATAGATACCGTAGAGACTTTACGACGCTTGTGGTAGAAAACAAGCCAAGGATCAGGGTTACTCATTCTTTTTCCAGTGTTGTTGTTAGTTGCCATCGTGTTGATACTGACTCAGCGACACTGTGTATAACAGAATGAAACCTTGCCAGGTCCTGTGTCGCCTTCATGCTTGTTGGTGTGTTTGAGTCCATTGTTGCAGCTGTGGCGTGGTGTCTCCAACCAAGGAGGGTCATCATCCAGTCTTCAGAAGTAGATCTCCAGGCCTTTCATCCTTGTGTTTCCTAGTCTAGAAGGTCTACTTAAACCTGTCCATCATGGTTGACCTTGCTGATATTTAAAATACCGGTGGCATAGCTTCCAGCATCATAACAACACACAAGCCACCACAGTATGATTGACAGACAAATGGTAGCATTCTTTCTAGGGATGCTCTTACTGCCCTCTTGCCCCTTTGAGCACAGACCGTGTGTGTCTATCAGAAAGATTTGGCAGATGATGGTGGATGGCTACTACAGACCCAACTGCTTGAATGTGGAGCATTTCCCCTTTCTTTTGAGCTATAAAAGAAGAAAAGAGAGAGAAAAACAGAGAGAGAGAGAGAGAAGGGGGGACCATTTTTGACATATGATTCTTTTCTATGATTAGGCAATATTTTCTTTCATAAACTAAAGGAGACTTTATGCTCTTTGTGTGAAATTATTGCAGTTTATGAGGCAAAGGGAACATATTAGAAATAGGTAGAAAAATATCTTGGCTTGAATTCCAGCTTTATAATCGCATGGACTGTAGGTCATATCCCAGCTGTGTCATTATTAGTTGTGTGCCTTGAGGCAAATATTTACTTTTTTAATACAGTAACAATAATCATAGCATGTATAACTTGGCAAATCCAAGTTATAAAATGGGGGTGTTCTTTAAGTAAAATAATACACAATTATGTATAAAAAAATAGTTACTAAGGCCACTCTGAGGTCTTGGAAGGGGACTGTACAGATAAGGGGAACTCACTGGTGCTTTAGGCCTCATTAGCTTCCGGGTAAACCCACCTCTGCTAACATTCCTTATAACACTGTGTGCCAGGCACTGTTCTAAGTGATTCACATATATCAAATAATTTAATCCTTAAAGCAATGCTATGAATAAGGTACGTATTATTTTTCATGTTTTACAGATGAGGCATCTAAGACATGAAGCAGTTAAGAAATTAATAAGAGGTAAAGCGAAGATTTGAATCCATGCCTTAAACTGTTACTCTGTATGACCCATTGAGGATTTAGTTTTCTCATTTGTAAAATAGTTAATCCCAGACCATCAAATGTTTGGATTAAATCTTATTATATAGAAACAGTTTAGCACAGTGCTAGGTCCATAGTATATGCTTAATAAATATTTACACTCTATTCAGGCCTGTTAGATTCAAGATGCTGTGAAGTATATCTGTATCTTTAAAGTTTAAACGTTTTGATATTTTGGCATTTGGGGCTTTGAAATCTTCAGTTTGACTCAGTAGAACTTCCTTGTCACCTCTGATCTCTTTTTTTCTTTCTAGATATAAAGTAGATTATAGATTACTGAATGTAATTAGAAATAAATCTATAAATGTACAGAACTACCATTTGAATTTGATGAAATATTTGATTTCTGACAGCTTTTAGGTTTAATCCTCATACCTCTTTTGAGTCAAAATTATGGGCCAGTTAATGATTTTGCAATGCATAGCATCATGTAGTTGAAGGGATATTTCCATATGTGTCTTTGTAGATTTTTGATAAATGAAAGAATAAAGAATTTAAATATTTAGTATTATCTTTATCTTATAATACAGGAGATTGAATTCAGTATTTAAGGTCCCTTTCAGATTTAAGCTTCAATGATTCTAAAATACCCTCTGCAGAGTACAATTTAATTGTAATAGCATTGCTTATTTTTCAAGATAACTTAAAAAATAGGATTGTAAGAAGATTTTCTTGGTAATTTTATTTTATTTAAAACATAACACATTGCCACATAACTTCCATCATAAAAGGTAGCATTATGGTGAAAGTCAAATATGTTAATTTCTACTTATAAAAAGATGTGTTTGTTTTATAAATGATAGTAATATCTATATAACTATTGAATGATTATTATTTGGTAAGCATGGTTCTAAGTTTAGCAACACATATACATGAAGTTAGGAGTAACTACCTTTTCATTTTATTTCTTTATCACTGGCAAACTCTATGTTTGGTTCTATACAAGACATGTAAAGACACAACCTCATTCCTAAAAGATTAATTGAGAAAATAGCATTATGGTTAAATATCTCATGCATGAACTCTTTTTCTAAAATCACCTTTCCATGGTAAACTATCTTTGACAGAGTAGATGAAATGACAATCTGTATAATACAATTAAGAAAATGAGAGTGTAATCTCTTGGAATTGAGGAAGGGCTGTTCCTTTGCAGAGTAGGTGCTCAGTGAATGTTATTAATTGACTCTAAGTAGAAACATAGGTGAAAAGAGTAAAAGGGAGTAAAGGAAAATAAAAGGAGCACCATCATAATTAGATAGCATTTATTAAACTCCCACAGTTATATGACAGGCTTGGACAAGAGAAGGGAATGCAATAAGATATACAAGAAAATGTAGGAGGGGGCTGAATCACACAAAGCCAAGACTGACTCAGATAGGATAATCAAAAGAGAAGATTCCAGGAAGCAGGCAGCAATATGGTCAACTTGGCTTTAGAATCCATAATTTTCATTGGTTCATAGAGAAAAATATTTCACAATTGAAGTTACAAAGGGAAGTATTCAGAAAAAAACTTAAGAATGTGTTTATGTAACTGTCAGTCTTAATGGTAACTGTAATTGACTGCTGTTCATTTTAACTGTCATGTTAAATGGATCAGTTTATCAGTTCATGGAATTGAGTGATCCCATCATTTTATAGATCTTTTAATTTTGATGCCATTAATGCAGATTCTGGTCCAATTTCAGCAAATTTTGTGCCCACTAAAAATAGGGTATAACTGATAGGAATTTTGTGTCTAAGGCCTATTTAAATACTCCATATGTGTATGTTTGTTGTTCTCTACCAATGACTGGGATATTTTATAATAATCTCAAATACTTAGTCAAATTTTCCCCATTTACTCTGACTTCTTTCATTCTTCTTTAATTCTCAGCAGTTCTAGTTAATTGAGGGGGCATAGGACCCAATAGGAGAGCATTAATTTTGGGAAACCACAGTCTTCCACAGCGCAGCCTAAGAATACCAATTTTTAGTTTTGCACGTAAGACCTCACATTTTCCTGTAAGCTTTGAGAGATGCTATTGAAAAACCATGGATATTCCCACAGGATAGGCATATAATAATGACATTCTTTTCTGAAGGAAAGAGTTGTACACAATTAGAAAAAACACTTAAGAAGCTATAGTGGACCTTTGAGGTTCTATCTCTATTAACAGTGCAGGAAGCTATGCACTTTACAGCAGTGGACCAGAATATATTTGACTTGGCTTCTTGACTACCTGTTCATCTAACCTAGTGTGAGAGTCAAGGGATTTCTCCCTAGAACTATTAATAATAGTAAACAGACTGAGACTAAGTTACTTTTATTTTCCTGTTGGCTATTTTTAGTGGTTCTGCTTTCAGTTAGGAGAACTTGTTGTGATCACAATTTAAGGGATTAATTAAAGAGACTTGTGCTCAGGTTTGGTATCTCCCTATATATATTTACCCTGCTGTGACTCAAGATGATGGATAGCTGATGATTAAAAATAAATCCAGAATTATTTATTGAATCTCCCTCTTTGGGGAGGATTATGAAAGATTAAAGATGAATCAGATTACGGATTTTGCTTTTAAGGAACAAGCTGATTAGTAGATACACACAGCATACATAAGTAATTGCAATACACAGCAGGCAGTTTTAAGTATTATAAAATCCATGTATCAACAAATATTTATTTACCTCTTGATATTTGGCAGATGCTATTCTAGGTGCTAGGGAGAGAGCAGTGAGCAAGATAGTCAAGGTCTCTAGTCTCATTGAGTTTACAGTGCAGTGGTAAACATACAATAAACAAACAATAAATGAGTTTAAAACATCAGGTAGTGATTACTGCTATAAGGAGAGAAACCAGAGTGCTATGAAGGAGAGTGTATGATGGTCTGGGAAGTGGATTTGAGTTAAGATTTGAATTAGCAAAAGGAATCAGGCCTATAATTCTCTTGAGGAAGAGTATTTTAGGCAGATGGAACAGAGAGTGTAAAGGCACTGATACAAAAGAGTGTTTGGAGTTGTAAAATAAAAGAAGACAGACCAGTAAGTAAGAGGTGGAATAGTAGGAAACTTAGTTGAGAACTTAGGTGGGGATATAATCATTAGGTATTTGTAGATCATAAGAGATATTGATTGCATTTTATATCCAAGGGAAATCCATTGAAGGATTTTAAGCAGGGGGATTATATGATCTTATTTATGTTTTTTAAAAGATGATTCTGGCTACTATATGGAGGGGGGATTGTAGTAGGACTAAGAGTGGACCCAGGTAATCTTGTTAGGAAGCTATTGCAGTAGTCAAAGTAAAAGATGATCACCCATTGCTGCCAAGTCCATTCTGACTCATAATGGCCCTATAGGACACAGTAGAACTGCCCCGCAGGGTTTTCAGACCCAGCGCTTAAGAGCTCAGCCGCTGACCAAGAGGTCGGTGTTCAAATCCACCAGCTGCTCCTTGGAAACTCTATGGAGCAGTTCTACTCTATCCTATAGGGTCGCTATGAGTCAGAATTGACTAGATGGCAACAAGTTTGGTTGTTTTTGGTTTTAATCTTTATGGAAGCAGACCGCTACATCTTTCTACCACAGAGCAGCTGATGGGTTGGAACCACTGGCCTTTCAGTTAGCAGTTAAGCGCTTACCCACTGCATCACCAGGGCTTCTAAAAGATGATTTGTGTGATAATAGTACAGAAGGAGAGAAAGTGACAAAATGGATACATTTTGGAAGTGAAACTGATGGGATTTGGTGATGGGTGAGGAATAATGAGAAATGAAGGATGATTCTGAAGTTTTTAGCTTGAGCAAGTATATTAACGGTGGTGACAAGTACAGGCAGTGCCCCTGTTATGAACGTCCAACTTACGTACAACCCATAGTTACAAACCAACCCCCGTAAAGCCTATTATATTAAAAATTCGAGGTACATACAATGGACGCTACTTTGCGAAGAACATCAAAACAGTATTATTATTTACTGTATTATTATATTAAAGATGTTTTAGTGTATCTGGAGGTGTTTGTTCAATGTTTTTTATGCATAGAAAGATACACTATATACAAAAACAAATACTTGACTGATGTTAGATAGGAACCATATCTAACTGTTCCAACTTAACCTATAAATTCGACTTAAAGACAGATTTAGGAACAGAATTTGTCCATAATCCAGGGACTGCCTGTATAGAAAGGGATACCTTTGTTGAAGAGCAGCTTTTAGGGGGAATGGGTGAGAAATTAATGGTTCTTTTGTGACCTTGATAAGTTTCATATGCCTATAAAATATCCAACTGGCAGTGTTCTGTAGGATATTAGTCCCTGAAGATCTGGGCTAGAGAAATAGATGAAATGGTGTGTGAAGCTAGAAAGAGAGAGCAGTTACCCTCCTTAGGTTTCACAAAGTAACAGTTGAACTGTACCCTAAATGCAAGGCAAGATCTAAATATAAATAGATAGGAAGATAACATTGTATGTAAAGAAAAACATGAAGAAATGGTAAGTATTTGGCATGACAATGTCAAGGCAGCTTTTGGAAGGCCAGATTATTTTTGTCAGTGGGAACCATTAAAACAATGTGAGCAAGAAAATGACATGTTTATTATGCACCATGAAATGTATAGAAAATATTGGGGGGAGCAGAGAAAGAATCTGAGTGGCCAGTCGGGAGAATTAACGAGATCTTTTACATAAAAAGAGAAGTACATAGATAAAAAAGTCACTTAGAAGGCAGAATTTATAGGAATTTAAAATTGAAGGGATGGGGGCAGTAGAAAGTGTCAAGCTGGAAAAAGAGTCAGTGATAACTAGAATTTTGGATCTAAGTGACTGGAAATACAGGTATGCCACCATTAAGAATAGTGAAAAAGAAAAGAAAAAAGGCAAAGATAAATTTGGGAAGGGAAGAACATCAGATTGAAGAATGAAAAATTCATGGTGTCATTCAAC